GTCTGTGTCCTTCCTGACTTTTTCCTGTTCACTTACGTTTACAGTGGGGCGGGGGGTGCAGTGACATATGTTACGTTAACTGTCCTCTGCAGCTCGTACTTCAGCTTGTTTTCTCCACTTAACAACGACTCTTGAACATCTTTCCATATCAGCCCATACCCAACTACTTCATTCTTTTTAAATATTACATCATATATGATTTTATAATTTGAGGTATTTCTTTATTGATGGAAATTTGGGTGTTTATAATTTCTGTACTGTCACAAAGGGTGCTGCAAACAACATCCCTGGAGTTTCATTTGCGTGCACCTGTGCAAACAGTTCTCTAACGTGGGTAATGGGAAGTGGAATTATGAGATCAGAGAATGATCATTTCTAATTTTAACAGATACTGCCAACTTGCTCACCCTAAAAGCTTTCTCCTGAGCATGTATACACATTATATACACACGTACACACAGTTTCTTTTTAAATGGGACCATACAGTACATACCTTTTTTTCATCTGATTTTGACCCCTAAGATATCAGAAACATTATCTTTCAATCGGCCCCTCTGGCCTTGGAGTGAGGCTTTTTGCTTTCTCTCCAGGATTTCTCCAGGCCTCGACCGCCCCAGAAGGCCCTCCCAGCGAACCCAGTGCCAGGCCGCAAGAACCTCCCCAGGCCAGGAGGCACCTCCACGCTGCGGCCCTCTGCTGCTGGCCTTCAGCCGCCCCGGCCTCTGGCGGCACCTGTCCCTAAGGTGAGTCCACAGAAGCCCCCAAGGTAAAAGCTGGTACCAGAAAGCCCCAGGGGGACAAGTGTGTGTTTGAGAAAATAAACCAGTGCAAGCTTTTTGTTGTCTGGGCTGAACTTCCAGGACAGAAGCCAAGGACGAAAGCTTAGCATTTCTTGGGGCCCATTTGACTATTTCTTCAATTAGTGCCAGGGTGTTTTGGCTTCATGTGAAAGGTGATGCTTAGGAGCCTGANTTTCTTCAATTAGTGCCAGGGTGTTTTGGCTTCATGTGAAAGGTGATGCTTAGGAGCCTGAGCTATGGTGGCTTCAAACCTGCATTGCATCTAACCTGAGCAGCAACCCTGAGCAAGTCCCTCTCTTGAGGCTTAATTTCCTTATCTGTACAAAGGCAATTATAAGCAGCAGTAAGCAGCCCCACACAGCTGCTGTGCAGATCAAGGCGGTTATTTTATGTAACCCACCTGGCTGTGCACACATGGCCCCACTATCACCTCTTCTCTGTGGCTGATGTGATCTCAGTTGCCTGTCGTGGGATGGGGAGGATGCTGCTGACAGCCCTGTATTCCTGCAAGGCACTGGGACATCTGTGGCCTGCACTGCAGCTTTATGGGGAAGGGAGGAAGGAGGGGTGACTGGTCAGCTGGTGATAGGGATCCCCACCACACCTGTCACCACAGGACTGATGGTCTGGGTGAGCAGGCACATCAACAGACATCTACAGGAAACCTTTCTTCTCAGCGATGACCTGTCTATCCTTCCAAGCTGTCAAAAGCGAGAGGACCACTCCCCATTGAGCCCATTGGTTCGCACCCAGCTGATGTCTTTGTCCCTCCCTTCTCTTTCTTTCCACAGTTTCCTGAATACAGATCACAGAGGGCTGGGTGGATAACTAGCTCAAAAATCTAGACCCATCTAAGGGGTTCTCCCTTTCCTCGAGGACTCCAGACACCACAGAAGACCTATGGCCATGGAATCTGGAAGAAGCATGTCTGGCCACTTCTGAGTTCCTCCTGCCCTCCTCCTGGAACCACCACATCTCCAAAAATCCCCTTCTTGACTCAACCTCCTTGTTCTTCCTCGGTGGCCCAAAAGGTCTATACCAATGGCTTCTAAGTGTTGTTCTGTGCAATATCCAGCCCCAGGGAGAGAGGGGAGAGCAGGGAGGAGGATGAATGGCAGCTTCTCCCTCCAGCCTCCCAGCCCAGAGGTGCAAGGATGTCTGCGCCAGCCAGCCCAGCTGGGAAAAGTTCTGTTCAGCCCACCGGACCAGGCCTTAGCTTGGAGAAGCCATCCATCCACATGCTGTAGTGGAGGGTATGCATGAGAGCTTTCCGTTGCTTCCGTCTCCCTCAAAGGTCCCAGGCTGGACAGAGGCTGGACACTTAGCCATCCCTTTTAGCTTTTAGAGATCAAGGAAGGGTCAAGCCAGCCATTCCTGTGGTCCTGCCTAGGGCTTGGTTGAGGTGACAGCTCCTGGCTATGTGGCTGCATGTGATGAGCCATGTCCCCTCCCCACCTCCCCCCAGGCCTCCAACTTTCCTTGTTCACATGGGTCACTCTGACTCAGACAGGTACTATTTGTAGGCAGTGTAGACAGCAAGGGGAGCCCCAGGCTTGGGTCTTCTCTGAGCCGTGATGCCAAAGGTTGCGATTCTCCACTCCTGATAATCCTTGATCACTCTTTGTTCTCTCTTCTGCACTATCCTAGTGTCCCATGCTTTTGTCTTTTCCTCCCCACCTCAGACCCTTTCTAATGTGTGGTGCTTTGGTAAGTGGACTCTCAGTGGTCCTGAGCTCCTGGTGACTGGTGCTCATGACCAAAAAATCAAGGTCCTGCCTCAAGGGCTGGCCACTGGATTTCCTGCATCAGATCTCAGGACTGGTGACCAGAGTAGACTGGGGGCATGGCCATGGGGATCATATCTTTATGTTTCATTGTGTTTTGTGACCTCAGCAGCAGGAGAGTCTTCCTGCTTACTTCCTGACCTGAATCTAGGTGGGATTCCTAGGGATTGCAGCAGGTATAGTGAAGGGAGCAGGCATCCCAGGCACCCCAGTTAGTAACAAAGAACACACAAAGGGGCCCACTTGTCCCTAGTGGTCTGGTCACTGACATGAGGCAGGACCATTGCCCTCTGAGCAGAGAGCAGGCCTGTTTCTAACCAAGGGAGCTGTTGGAGATCCCTGGCGAAGGCAGCCATCAACAGCCAGGTTGGAACAGTCTGANAGGGAGCTGTTGGAGATCCCTGGCGAAGGCAGCCATCAACAGCCAGGTTGGAACAGTCTGAGCTGCCACCCCCCTCCCCCAGCCTTTTTATTATCCACATCCTTTGGTTCTCTTCCAGGCATTGCCTTTACCTGATCCTCACAGAAAAAGAGGTCTATGCAGATGGGGGAGCCCGACTCACTGGAGCAGGGAAGTGGGGCTGTACGGTGCTCTGCTAGATAGGACGATTTTCACAACGTAGCTGGAGGTATTCTCTGGGAGACTGTCACCCACCCCCAGAAAGGTGCTGAGTGGCTCTCAGGGGGGAGCTGGCCTGAATTCCACATCTTTGAGGATTTCCAGGGCCCTCCCCACCTCTGCAATGAGCAATTGTTCGCTTTTGAAACAAATCTCAATGCAAGGAGGAGGCTGAGCTTTTGACTCCCTACCCATCACCGCAGGGCCTCTTATGGTTCTCTGCACACAGCAGGTGCTTAATCGATGTTCTTAGGTTTGTAGACAAGTGGGAGATATGGGATGTGCACCTGGGGACAAACATGAGATGGGTTTAGAAAAATCTCAGGAAAATGAGTTTCTCCTCCCTTGGGTGGCTGTGACATTCTGGCCCTGGCTCTCTGGCACGGGCCACCGTTGCTCCCCATCCTCACTGCCTGTTCAGTCAGGGGACAGCCTTCCATGTTTTGCCACCCCCCTCCCCCAGCCTTTTTATTATCCACATCCTTTGGTTTTCTTCCAGGCATTGCCTTTACCTGATCCTCACAGAAAAAGAGGTCTATGCAGATGGTGGAGCCCGACTCACTGGAGCAGGGAAGTGGGGCTGTACGGTGCTCTGCTAGATAGGACGATTTTCACAACGTAGCTGGAGGTATTCTCTGGAAGACTGTCTCCCACCCCCAGAAAGGTGCTGAGTGGCTCTCAGGGGGGAGCTGGCCTGAATTCCACATCTTTGAGGATTTCCAGGGGCCTCCCCACCTCTGCAATGAGCAATTGTTCGCTTTTGAAACAAATCTCAATGCAAGGAGGAGGCTGAGCTTTTGACTCCCTACCCATCACCGCAGGGCCTCTTATGGTTCTCTGCACACAGCAGGTGCTTAATCGATGTTCTTAGGTTTGGAGACAAGTGGGAGATATGGGATGTGCACCTGGGGACAAACATGAGATGGGTTTAGAAAAATCTCAGGAAAATGAGTTTCTCCTCCCTTGGGTGGCTGTGACATTCTGGCCCTGGCTCTCTGGCACGGGCCACCGTTGCTCCCCATCCTCACTGCCTGTTCAGTCAGGGGACAGCCTTCCATGTAAACATGACCCCAACACCCCATGCCTCAAGGCTGAGTCCCAGAAGAGCAAAGGTGAAAAGACCCCCTTGTAAGCAAACGAACACCCTAAACCCAACCCCCGTGCCTCGTAGACGTTCTTGTGGCTTGTCCAGCTCCTCTCCCTCACCTCGGGGGGCGGACGCTTCTACAAGACAGTGTCACAGCCGTCGTGACTGCATGAGCCTTTTAAACCTGAAATTCACCCTCTCCCTGGAACCATGCCAGAAAGAGATCCAGGTTATCGTTCTCTTGCTTTTTGTTTTGTTTTTATTTTGTTATTTTAATACCACCTCCATGCCATAAAATTGTACTGTGAACTGGAAGAGGGTGGAATTAAAAAAATTTGATGGAAACTTTTGGCAGCAGGTTCTATTGACTGTTTCACTCCTGGCTGTGTTCAAGGAGCCAGGAGTGGCGTTGCTGCAGGATAGGGAGGCTGCCAGGAGGAAGACCTGCCATTACTCACCCTTTTTCCCCCCTCCTGTGCCCAATGTGCCACTTTGAGGTGTCAAATACAAATAAATCTGAATTTACAGACAGAGAGACTTTATTCTAAAGATTATTGCAAGAAGGAGAAAGGAATATCGCAACAGGGGTCTGCTCAGACCGACCTACCCAAGATCTGCAAGCATCTCAAAGCCCATGCAGAGAAGGCCTTTTCTTTTACTGAAAGGAGTAAACACAGCTAGAAAGAACCATGTTCAGGGAATGTTTTGTGCCCAGCCTTTTTGGGATGGGATTGTTAATGAGGATCTGTAAACTGATTCAAGTTGAGGGTGAGTTGAAGTCCAAGGTCTGGTGGGGAGGAGGGAAGCTTAAAATTTGGTCTAGTGAGTTAACAAACACTTTGTTCAGATGGAGATGTATGCTATACTAGTCTCCTTCCAGTTTAACAACCCTGGAATGTTTTAAGAAAAAGGGCCTCGGAGCCATCTCTGAAATGTAAACCTCAAGGGAGATGGTCCCATCCCCCATCTCTGGGAGTTTTAGCCTGGACACCTGGCTCCCAGTTGTAACTACCTGCTTGCAGTAGATTCCTTTTTAGCCTTGTTGACTTTTTCCTATGAAAGAAAAGCCCCTTTTTGCCCCAGCTCTGAGACAATTGCAGATTTTATGTGTTCTCTGATTGTGGTGGTCTATTTCCCCATATTGCAACAGCCCCTTACCATCTCTTGCAATGATCCTTTTGAATAAAGTCTCCCTTACCTATGTCCTAATGTGTTATTTGACAGAGGATATGGAAGATTTGTATTTTTAAAATGGGGATCAGTTCTAAAGTCGGTAATTGTGTTAAATGTGCATGTAACAGCTCTGCTGAACACTCAAGAAAGCTAAAGGAATGCCAACTGGAAAGGTGCCCCCGTCCCTAGCAAAGCCTGCTAAGGAGAGGCTCTGCAGCATCCAGCACCCCAAAGTCACCCTCCGTGCGTACTCCCACACCATCCACTGTGTGTATGTATGTGTCTGGGATCCAGAGCAGTGTGAATTTTCTTTTTATTTGGGAGCTTTTTCACAGAAAACAGATCCTCTTCTCTCTTGTCCACCTATTAATTGTTTACAATATTTGTACATCTATGCAAAATACTTGAATGGGCTATGGTGCCTTTTTTCCTTGTTTGTATTTAATTAAAATGAATTATTTGTCATTTGGAATGTTACTTCGTTTGGCAGCTCTTTTTTGTGTGTTTGTTTTAATGTCTCACTGCTCAGACTGGATAGGATCCATAACACATGGACTCCTCAGAAAGTTCCCACAAAGCCATCAGTCCAGTCTGCAAGGCCATTATGGCCCACCTCTAGCCATCTCAATGCCCTGGGTTTTCCCATGACCAGTAGAGGGAGCTGTTTGTCTTTGCACCTGGACACAGGCTGGTCTAGTTTGTTTAGGTCTGATCCTGGGATTCTCTAATACATTTCTTCTCATCCTACACTATGCATTCAGAAGACAGCTGAGACCCTCTGTTCACTTCCTCCTCTTATTGCTGGGGATCATACTTTAAAAGAGGGGACAGACTTGCCCACGGTCTCTTGGGCTGGGAGGCAGGTGCAGCCAGGACTAGGGTTGGGTGTGCTTTCTGATTCCACAGCCCTGGGTGATAACACACCTCATATTCATTAGTGCTTCCCAGCCCACAAAAGAGTCCCTCCCTCATTCTCTCATCTGATCCCTACCTCAATTTGGAGGGTCTCTAAGAGAGATGGAATGGTAATAACCATAACAGGAGGTAACATTTACTTAGTACTTAACACATGAGGCACTGCATGCTACGTTTCTTTATATGGATTATCTCATTTAATCTTCACAAAATCCCTGGGAAGGGGTCCTTGATATCTGATTATACTTTTCTAACTGCTCATGATTATGAGGTTGCCTAAGGACACTGAGGTTGCCTAAGTCAATCTAAACAGAAATGCTTTTACTACCAACACGCTGGCTCATGAAATTAGTCCCCACCCAAGCATCCCTGCCTGCATAACAAGCCACTGTCCACTCCACCAGCCAGTCTCTGGGTTGATATCTATTGGCCAGCAGCATAAAGCAGGAAACCTGGTTGGACAGACCTGGGCTCCAATCCTGACCTTCCACTTATTAGATGTGTGAGCCTAAATAAGTTCCAGAGGCTCTTTTTGCTATACGAATGGGAATAATCCTAACCTCAGAAGGGCTGTGGTCCTCAATGGAGTGTTCTATGCGAAAGCACCCAAGGCCACTTGCTCGGAAACTGCTGACTACATCAGTTTTAGGGCTGTTCTGCTTAACATGCCAGGGGTCTACTAGGATCTGCCTTGGATTGAGAGCTGGTCCCCAAAAGAGTTTGAGCAAGGAAGGACTATTTGGAAGGGTATTGTTCTTTCATTCAATAGATTCTTTTTGAGTGCCAACTATATGCTAGGCACTGAGGATAAGCAGTAAATCAAGACCAACTCATGGAGCTTATACTCAGATAGGGGACAACACAGATCACAAGAAAATAAAGTGGTGATTATAAATTGGGGACAAATATAGTCTTTTGGAGAGACATGCTGTGCCTGGTGGTTAAGACTGTGGCCTTGGAACCAGACATCAACTTCGACTCTTCCTGACTGTGTGACCTTGGGCAATTATTTAACCTGAGTCCCTTTCCTCTGATATAAAGTGGGGATAAAAATATGTCTACCTTTGGGATTTCTGAGGAGTTAGAGAGAATTCACGTGAAGCATCACTGCCTGGTGCCTGGTAAGGGCTCAGGTGTTAGTTAGGGATGAGTTGTCTCCAACAGACTCTATTCCAAAAACAACCTTTCCCACTCTAGTGAGGGCATAAATATGGAAGACACTGTAGGGACTTTCTTGGCAGCCAGGGTCTTTCCGAAATTGGGACTGGCCTCCCAGCATGGGAGGAACCAGTTTAATCCCATGTTCAGGGAAGGTCAAGACGCAAGTATCGAATAAACACTCTGAAGTCCTCATTCCTGACCCTGCAAACTAACTCTCAGGGCCCTCAGTTTACTGCCATTCTCAAGATCCAACGTGTGGCATTCATTTTAGTTACAGACAGAAATCCACATTCATTAAAAACTGGGGATTGAAGGCTGGAGGTGCAGAGACCCAGTCCGTTAGTCAGCCAAGCCATTGGAGCTCTAAGGCCAGTAAGAATTTGACCTTGGCTTTGCTACTCTTGGGGCATGGGATGTAAACCCAGGGCCCAGGAAAGGAACACAGGGAAGGCTCCGCAGCAACCTGGCGGCTAAGGATTGTCTTCCTCTCTCCAGATACACCGGCTCCCTAACTTCTCTTTCAATGGCGCTAGTACCAACCCCCACACTTTTGCAGCTAGAATGGAGATGGGAAGGGAAGGAATATTAATTCTCTCTCTCCAGCTGCTCTTGTTTTGTGGATGCCTCTGGCCAAATGTGAGGGGATCAAAGGCAGTCCCATAGCAGGTGGTGCTGGAACAGTCATGTCCTGCTGCTTCCCAGTGTGGGCAGCTCTCCAGTAGAGATAGGGACTAGGTGGCAATCTGGTCCACAGCCAGAATGCACCTGGTGCCAATCCTGCACACGCCCCCCTCCCCAACTTGGTCACTGAAATTCAGAGCTCATCCCACTGACCAAGCCTTTAGGGTGGCAGCCCAGAAATTATCTTGGAGCCCTTTTCACCTGGCTTCCTGGTTGAGCACCAGAGTAAACACAAAAGTTACCTTCCAGTTCCCAGAGAGGATGTGACTGTTTTCTGCCAAATCCTGACTTTGCTACTCACATCCACCCACCTCCCCAAGTCGTATTTTGGTTGACTCCTTGAGGAAAAGGAAAGTGCATTCTGCCGACCTTTAGCTTGACAGCCAGGCCACTTTTAAGAGAAGAACAATTGCTGTTCTTGTCCCAGAGCAAAGCAAAATGAGACACTGGGTTTGGCCAGCAGGGCTGGGCTGCAAGGCAACTTTTGCTGCTGTCGTCGTTTTGATTTGAGTTCTAAGATCATTGCCTGCATGTCTCAGTGACTGCTCCTTAGGACATAGTAGAGAGAGGAGGGGTGGGGATGTGGGGGTGGTGCTGGAGCGAATGGACACCAAGCTGCTGACCATCAGGCCGGAGTGCACAGGGAATGTGCTGGTTGAAATAGTTCCTGAGACATCAGGTGGCTTTCACAGTAAGAAGGTCAACCGGGGTCTCGCTTCTGTCTCCGAAGAGGAAGCAGCAAAAGCAACATGACATTTTATATTGTGTCCCTGTCATCTCTGGATGGGGAGGCATGGCACATTGCTCTCTGGGCCACTGGGAGCCAGCTGTATTTCATTTTGGGCTAAGGAATGGAGATTCAGTCTCAGGAAGAAAAATTGGTGCTAAGATTTCCTGATGGCCAGGATCTCAGGGAAGTTCTTGGACTGTGCTACATTCAACAGGTCAAATTCTATCTTCTTCCCAACAACACAGAGATGGCACTGATGGAACCAGTGGGAAGGGAGGTCCCGGGGACCTGCTGCACCCATGTAAACTAGAGTATTTGGTCATTGAGGCTATGTTTCCAGAAAGTTCCACCACCACTGCTCACTGGGTAGGGATTTTTCTCCTGGAAACATGATGAGGTATAAACAAACATCTCAAGAAAAGAGAGCCCACTGGTAACAAGTGATGCTGAAAATAACCAGATAGTTTTGAAACTGAGAGGTCAGGCTGCACCCGTGGGCTCATCCCCTCCCTCAGTCGTTCCAAGCTTTAAGAATGGATTATAAATACTTTGGGCTTCTCTTCTGGTGAAGGGGTGCCAGCAAGTTCTATGTTGTCCACGAGGACGTTCTTGTCTTCCAGTCTAATGACAGTGGGCTGTGGGGCGGGAGCTGGGGTTGGGTTTTTGTGCATGTGGGGCAAGCTGGTCCGGCCAACATCCAGGTCTTTGAAAGCATGAAGCATGAACACCCCCAGGATAATGGTGACAAAGCCAGAGAGGGTGCCCACAATGTCCATGGCAGACATGCTGTACCACTCCTTGAAGAGGATGATGGAAGAGGTCAGGACCACCGTGGTGAAGAACACGTAGTAGATGGGGAACACCAGGGAGGTATTAAAGATGTCCAGTGCCCTGTTGAGGAAGTTGACCTGAGTGCTGAGGGTAAGTGCCAGGATGAGGGACAGGATGTAGGGGAGGGGGTGCCGCACGACGGGCAACCCCTGGAAGAAGTTCCTAATGGTGATGCCCAGACCCTTGACGGCGGTCACGGAGAAGGCCCCGATCACGGAGCAGATGATGATGTAAATGAGGATATTCCTTTGCCCATAACGTGGGGCGATGACAAAGATGAGGATGAGACAGGACACCAGCAGGAGCACAGCAAACACGATGAACCCTTCGGGAGGGGAGGGAGAGAGGTCACCTCAGCCGAGGAGGGTGCAGTCAGCATCTAGGGCCCAGACCCACAGCATTAAGAACGTGGGCTCTAGAGTCAGAAAACACGGTGAAGTCCCACCTTCACAACTTTTTAATAACCTGGGTAACTTATGAAACCCCCAAGACCTCAGTTTCCTCATCTGTCAAAGAGGACCCACAATAGGATCTTCCTCATGGGGTGTATGGTGGGATTCAATGAGATCATGCACATTAAGCATTCAGAACAGTGCCAGGCACATCATAAACACTTAATAAATGGTGTCCACAGATATCAGGCCAGGAAGGCTTTAAGCTGGCCTTGCTGACAAGTACCAGCCCACCAATGCCTTTCTTTAGTTTGCCTTCTGCTCCGGGAGGCAGCACCTCCCACAGGGTTCATCCCCATGTTCCCTGCTCCCCGGGTGCTTGCAGCCCACCTGTGTCTTTCATCTTGGAAGCCAACTCCATGACGGTGGTGACTTTCTCTTCCTCAGGGGCGTGGATCACCATCACTGTGCTGCCGGCCACACAGATCATGCAGCCCAGCTTCCCCAGCAGGTTCAGACTCTCTCCCAGGAAATACGAGGAGAGGATTGCACTGCACGTGGAGATGGGAGAAAGGGATTAGAGCACCATGCCTGCCCCAGCGTCTCAAAGGAAAACGGGGGCTGGGCGAGCACTCACGCAGAACTACAGATCAGAGTCCTGCTCTCTCATGGGGAAACTTTTCTAGACCCACAAAAACGTGTGAAATAGAAACTCATTTCTGAGCGGGCTGCCATGTGTGCTGGAGAAATAGAAATGCAGGTGCGTTTCTTTCAGAGACTGGAAATATCCTCAGACAGCAGAGTTATGAGAACCCTTCAAAGTGCTCTTGTCTAACTTCCTACCCATGAACACACCATCTCTTTGCATTGTTGACAGATGGCTTTCAGCTTTGGCTTGTTTATTAGAAAGCCAATGGGTTTTCCAATACACCTCACTGAAGAGGATCCTTGTGACTTCTCTGAGTCTTCTCTTTTCTGGGAAAAATACCTCTAGTTCCTTGCTGTTTCTCGGTGACATGATTTCTGTTCCCCTCACATCTAGATGAGCCAGAAAAGGTGAGAGGAAAGAGTGAGGAAATTGGGCAAGATGGGGCATGCTTCAGTTTCTCTACAAAGTTGGCGTTAATTTAGGGTAAAAATCTGTTGGCTGTCGTGGGACCCAATTAGCCTGAAAAGTCCTGGTTCTACGTGTCAAGAGAGAGGAGATTGAAGTCTAAGCTCCTTTGTCTCCTATCTCTCCTCTAAAACTACCAAAAACATTTTATCCACAATGTCCCATTCATAAGAGTCTGGTGGCATTTGCACAGGCAGGAGTCACACTCTGGAGAACTCCTTGCCTCTCCCAACTTTTTGTGGGTGGGAATTTGTAAACTAATCAGATATGCCATAGTGGTATCACAACTACGTCAGCTGTGAAATCAGCTAGTCCAGTTGTGCAGAGTGAGTCATGGTTCTATTTGTTTGTTTTTGACTGCATACATGTTGCAAAACTGTCATCAAGATGGTAAAAGAAAACAGAGGACGAAATCAGCTAGTCCAGTTGTGCAGAGTGAGTCATGGTTCTATTTGTTTTTGACTGCATACATGTTGCAAAACTGTCATCAAGATGGTAAAAGAAAACAGAGGAAATTATGGATACTGGGTGTGGTCAGCTGGGATCTACCAGGGTTCCAGGGTTAGGCCAACAATCAGAGCCTCCTTCAAATGGGCTTCAGGACCCCCATGTAGGAACCAGCTCTGTGTTCATAGTTCAGGAGGACTGGGGACAGCAGGAAGCACATACATTTGGCATCAATTATTTTACAAGCTATCAAACATTCATTAAGTGTTTACTTGAGGGGTCACATAGCTTAGTGGTTAAGCACCTGGACTCCAGAATTAGATGCCTGTGTTGGAATCCTGGCCTGGCCACATGGAATCTGGTTACCTTGGCCAAGTTGCTTAACCTCTCTTGGCCTCAGGGAGGGATGCTCTGAGGATTAAATGAGTTAACACATGGAATACATTTAGAACGTTGAGCACATAGTAAGCCCCTCAATATAGGAAAGACATGGTTATTGTCTGGTGCCAGTACTATGCATCTTCTGTTCATTATCTCATTCAGTCCTCAGAACAATTCCTCAAGGTAGGAGTTATTAGCGTAACCATTTTTCAGATGAGGAAACTGAGGCTCAAAGTGGTTAAGTGACTTGCCCATTGTAACATAACTACTCAGTAGTAGAGCCAGGATTAGAACTTAGGTAGTGTTATTCTAGGGCTCATGTTCTTAACTGTAGGCTTCTCTTATTGTGGCACCAAAATATTGACATAAGACATTCAGCCTGGTGGCAGTGGAAGCCTTTCCCACTGGTTCGGGCGTGGCCTGCCCCTCTATTGTCCAGTCAGTTGAGGGGATGCTGAGGTAAGTGGCAGCAAACAACCCCAGTGTCCAGAGCACTGAACGGCACACTGCCTCTTTCTGGGGGCTGGGACAAACCCAGGTCCCTGATTGCTGACTGGCAGTTGACCCCACTTGGCAATTCCAGGCTGCAAGAAACTGAAAACAGGAAGGAGCCAGAGATGGCTAGAGAGGTGACGATAACCTTATGAGGACGCTCAGCGCTCCCAGAGGTGTCACAACTGTCGCAGGTGCAAATGCATAGGCCCCGAAGTTGGCAACTTCTCCAGCAGCCACTAGGAAATTAAAAGAGAAAAGAGGCTAGTGTTAGACAGATGCACCATCTCCATTCCAGAAGAGTCTGGGCAGAGATGGCTTCATTGAGTGTTCAACCACCCACAGAATCCCAGACCAGTATTCCTTAAAATCCTGATTCTTATGCTCTCGCCCCGGAGAGTCTGATCAGAAGGGCAGTCCCAGACTTTACTGGTCAAATCCTTCCATTTTAAAGATAGCAAAGCTAAGGCCCAGTGCCCAAGGTCACATGAAATGTTTGTGGGTTGAAACCTTCTTGTTCTTCAAGAACAAGATTTGGCTTCTAGTCCAGGCACAGATAGGTTTGTCTCAGGGACTGCCAATGTTTTGGTCTATATATTTAAGGTAAGTTCTAGAGCACTAATTATCAAATAAAAACAGCTACATTTATTGATTCCTTGGATACCAATTGTTCTTTGGACTCCCCTTTCCTAAGGGAATTGTGCGCAGTCTTAAGCAATGGGCAGGTGGTTAGAAAAGTCTGACATTCCCAAGGGGCCTAAGTTCTCCCCATCTGACTTTCTAGTTTGCAAACTTCTGCAAGTGCCTTTCTGTCTCTCTGCTGGTAGAGAATGACCTGGGTCTCCCCTTTGAAAGCAGATGATGACTGTGATAGCCCTGGCTAAGGCAGGGATCAAAACCTGACTTAGAGGATGATAAATTAATTGCCTGTAGAATGGGGCAGTTGGTTTAGGAATCCCAGCTTCTACCATTTAGAAGTCCAAGAGTCCACTGCTAACAGGCAGTGATATGATCACCCTACGTTTCACAGGTAGTTGAGAAAATGTACCTTTACCATTACCATCCCTATACAAACATCTCTGTGGGTACATGCTTCAAGGATAAAGACTGGCTTTGGTTTGAAAAAGTGATCTGAGATGAAAGTAAGATGTTCTACCTGCAAATGTTTTATCAGAGTTTTTCCCTAGGAATCTGGGCTTCAGATTCATACTGTCCACAACAGAGACAAAAACACCCCACCCACTCCGTGCTTCATCTCCATCCCTGCTGTCAACAGGCTGCTGTTATTAGCAGCAAAGAGCCCACTTACTGGTGAGGAATCCAGCCCACCACATTGCATCCTTCAGGTAGCCATAGCCTCCGTCCACTGTGGAAGGGAAGGACAAAAGTTAGAGCTGGGCCCCACTTTCTCAGGCATCATCCCCAACTTTACCTTCATTCCCTGATCTCCAAGTCACGGCCTGGTTCTGGGCCATCTCCTGAGTGAGTTCATCCATTCCCAAAGTTTGAAACACCATCTATATATGGTGCCCCTATTTCGTATCTGTACCCTGGACATTTCTTCTGAACCAACTGCTCACTTGACCTCTCCTCTTGGATCTCTCAGGCATCTTGATCTCTAACCTAAATGGAACTCTTGATTTTAAATGCTTCCCACCCGCTCGCCAAATGAAATTCAGTAAACAGCACCTCCATGTACCTAGTTGCTTAGGCCAGAAGCCAGGGGATCACCTTTGACCCCTCTCCTACCCCCTCCCTCTGCATCCAGTACATCCTGCTGCTTCTGTCTCCAAAACCCATCTCACATGTGACCGCTCCACTGCCACCACCCTACTCCAAGGCACTGTCACCTTTGGTCCAGGTTGAGGCAATGGCCTCCTTCCTGGTTACTCTGGCTCTGCTCTTGTCCCTTTGGTAATACATCTTTCTCATGGCAGCCAGTGGTCTTCTAAGGATGCAAATCAGATTATGTCACTCCTCAGCTTGCAGCTGGCCAATGGCTTCCAATTGCTCTTAGGATAAAGACCAGAATCCTTGACAAGACCATGCATAGTCTTGGCACTGCTCATCGCTCCAAACACATCTCCTGTCACTCTTCTCCTTTCTTTTAAAATGATTAGCTCTTTTCTGTCCCAAGGCCTTTGCACATGCTTTTTCCTGTGTCCAGAATACTCCTCCTACCAATATTCCCCTAAATCTACACTCACTCTACAGGTTTCTGTTTGAAACTTGCTTCCCCCAAGACGAGATGTCCTTTCTCTTTTTGTCCTATTTCTATTTTTTGCTCTTGGGATTCTCTTTCATAACACCCTTCTTCTCCTTCATAGCACTTATCATTTATAATTTGAGTTGATTTGCTTATTTTCTGGTATTTCCCCCATGAAAATGGAAGCTCCACAAAGCCAGGAATTATGGCTGCTTTGTTCAGAGCCTGGTACATAGTCAATAGTCAATAATATTAGCTACAAGGGTGATGATGATGATGATGATGTAGACAGATAGATAGATGGGATTTAGACAGTTCTGTGAAAATCCAAAAATCCTATGTTGCTTTTTGTGAATGCCCATTTTTCTAAGGAAGAGGCCTCTTGCTTTCACCAGATTCCTAAGGGAGTCAGAATCTCCCATAAATGTTAAGAACTCTGAGAGCATTTTACTATAAGGTCTGAAATCTCAGAAGATACTGAAATAGCAGATGGGAAGAAAAAACAGATTCTAGGCAAGTTGTTGTCTTTCTGAATGGTCTACTTTGCCTGATCTTCCCTGAGCACAAGCAGAAATTTTCCTGGGGCAAGTTGTCTTTCTGAATGGTCTACTTTGCCTGATCTTCCCTGAGCACAAGCAGAAATTTTCCTGGCACTTTGGGAGGTCTCTGGCCTTTCGAACTCTTGCCATAGTGAAGTTTAGGGTAGCAGGGACCACTGCTCCTGACTTCATGCCCACACCCCACAGCTCCCCATCTGGGAGCACATGTGGGCTCTAGCGCTGTGTATCTAACTGCCAGGCCCTCCTGCTTAGATAATGCTAATACCAACACTAGTGCTTACTCTTTGCCCGGCATCTTTCTAAACATGTTACCTGTCTTCTCAATAACCCTCAAGGCTGGAACTATTCTTATCCCCCTTTTACAGATGAGAAAACTGAGGCACCAGAATAAATAATTTTCTTGCCCAGAATTGCATCACCAGGAATTGAGGAGCTGGAATGGGAACCCCAATAGTCTGCTTCTAAAGTGCAATGTCCCACAGAAGCATTAAATTGAACGTGTCCAAACCTGAACATGTCATTTTCCCATAAGCCCATTCCTCCTTCTGTATTCTTCGTCTCAGAAAATTGCATCATCACCTCCACAGTTGCTCAAGTCACAAACCTGAGTCATCCTTTACTCTTTTGACCCTCATTTTGAAACTAGTCAGCATCAAAGCCAGCAAGTTCTACTTTCAGAGACTGACTCTGGAATTCACTGCTTGTCTCCATTCCCACTGCCATTTCCCAGGCCCAAGGGCTGTCCTCTCGGTCACCTAATTGGCCTTCCAGCCTCCAGCCTTGTCCCCTAATCCGTTCTCCATCTGGCAACCAAGGATCTTTACTGACTCTGGAATTCACTGCTTGTCTCCATTCCCATTGCCATTTCCCAGGCCCAAGGGCTGGCCTTCCAGCCTCCAGCCTTGTCCCCTAATCCGTTCTCCATCTGGCAACCAAGGATCTTTTCAAACCGTAAATCAGATTGTGTCACTCCCCTGCCTACAACCTAACAATTGCACTCTGACTCTGTAGCACAGTTTACAAGACCCTCCATGAGGTGGCCCCTACCTCATCTTTTACCCCTCCATGCTCCAGCCATCCTGACTACTTTCAGTTTCTATGTCATTCATGTTCTCACCTCTGAGCCTTTGCACATGCTGTTCCTTCTGCCTGGAACACTGCCTTCCTCTTTCCCCTCCATCTCACTATCTCCTCATCATTTAGGTCTCAGTTAAGAGATCACCTCTTATAGAAAACCTAACCCCCCAAGTCTGGCCTTTACATACCCCTCCAAAGCATTCCCATAGCAGTCTGTATTTCCCCCATGACGGCACTTACACTATAAAACTATTGCCTACTGACTTGTCTTTGTCTCCCACTCGATTGAACACTCCACGAACACACTGTATCCCCATGCCTAGCATCTCAGCTGGCACACAGCAGGCATGCAATAGGTAACGAATAAATGAATACATTCTTTTACACATGATTGCTTTTCTCAAGAATTGTTTGATGGATACACACCTTATCTTCCAAACAAGCAATTCCCTTGTGGACAGAGACTCAATAATTCTTTTGTGGCACGTAAAGGAGCTTGGCTGGATTGAGAGTGAGGGCACATGTGTCTGACATTGCTCTGGGCAGAGGTGTCTATATGCCCATTTTGTAGAGAAGTTGCAACTTGCCTGTGATGACACATCTGGTAAGAAATAAAACCAGGACTAGACCTGGAGTATCTGATTCCTGGTCCTGAGACTTTTCCCTGTCTTCACCCTATTGGACATATTATGAAGTTCTCAGGAAATTGTGGGTTTCAAAGAAAGGTCTCCCATTGGCAGGTGGGATTCTCAATGGGATTGACAATGAGCCTTTTGTACTCATCTGAGGCCATCCTCTCAGACTGCAGCCCTGGTCCCTGTGAAGGGAAGCCAGCTGAGGGCTCAGCTACCCTGTGCCCAGTCCTCTCCAGCCCCCAGGAACCTACCAGCCCGAGTGGCCCCCGTGGCCACAAGTCGCAGGAGGCCTTTCTTCTTGAGGATGACGCTGCTGCCAATGAGGAAGGTGGACAGGAAGGCCAGGCCCAGGCCAATGTAGAAGCCGTAGTTCTGCCTGATTCTCTCCTGCCAGCTGGTAGAGGTGGCATTGCTGGGCACCTCGGGGTGGAGGCCACCGATGATCTGGCACAGGACTTCTTGGGAGGAGCAGTAAAGGCTGACCAGGGAACCTGGATAGGAAGGCCATGGTGACAGAGTCACGCTGGGGACATTTGTACATTTTAAAAATGTTGGAATTGGCCACTGTTACAGACCACATGCTTCTGCTACTGCAGGGCTCCCCCGACACCCTGTGCCCCAACCTCAGAATAATAGCCAACATTCACTGAGTGCCTGCTCAGGCTAGGATCTTTATTTGCATGAGCTCAAGCTGCTGTGGATAGGCAGCCTGAGGGAGTGGGCTGGAGTCCACAAGCGCCTTCTAGGACTGAAGATGACCAAGTGGTGAACCTCCTGTTTGTTGGAACTGACCATTCTCAGGCCTTGCTTCTGAGATCTCTGGTGCTATGGCCAGTGGTTGGGGCCCCTTCAGGCTAAGAGGGATTGGTGTCCCTGCCAACCCATATAAACTCTGTCTAGCACGCTCTCCAAGTTCTAGAGTCCCCAAGAGCCTGAATCAGCCCTCATGCCCCAGAGCTTCTTGGCACAAACATCAAGGACAATAGGACAAATGTGGGCACAAGGTAAGACCCTCAGTCTGAAGAACTACATAAGTTCCATGACACAGTGCAAAGACTCTCCAATCATCCTCCAGGGCTACTCCTCGCATGGTCCTCTGATCTGGGGTTTTCCATGAGGATTTCTAATAACCACTCTTCGAAATAGGCACAATGATCATTTCCAGGTTTTTAGCTGAAGAAACTGAGGCCCCGTAAGTTCAGGAACATGCCTAAAGCTACATTGGTAGTAAGTGGTGAAGCTGCAATTGGACCTCAAGGTCTTCTGATGCTGAGGCCAAAGCTCTTAACCCTCCCACCCCCAATAAAGCAGGCAGCAAGGTGGGGGGAGGAGAAAGAGATGGGGGGACTTCATCTGGCCTCCTAAGATGTATTTTAAAATATGGATTCATTACCAACATCTAAGACTTGAGGAATTTCCCACGAAAATTCAGATTTGGCACTATACTTTTAAATTAGAAGACCTGCTTACCTCACTGGGCAAGCCCTCCCATAAGGCAAGAATTGGCTGTGGCTGAGCAGCGGCTGCCCCCTTAGGACACGTGCTGTGCAACTCCCCAGAGCCCTTACCCAGCTCCCTTCAGTCACGTTTGTTCTGTGCTTGGCTTCTGTAGGCATTTGAGTTTGTGCCCTCTGGAGGTAGAAGGTCTTTTTCAAGCTGTGTTTCACAAAGGCCCAAGTTCCTGTGCAGAGAATGTAATGGGCCAGGCACTTCTCTTTAGACCAAGCTAGAACTCTCAGCCAGTGTCTAGAAGGGCCCCAAAGTCTGAGATCAGGCAGCTGTGGCTTTGGTGCATCTACAGAGTGGTATCTTAGTGGAACAGATTAAGGGCAATTTGGGCCTTTCTTCCATGACACAGAAACATGGAACAACAGAGCTGCAAGAGCCCTTAGAAAGCAGACAGTCTAACTCTCTTATTTTTAGCTGGGGAAACTGAGGCCCTGAGAAGCAGAAGGATTTCACTTGAGTCACACATACACGTGGTGGTAGAGCTGGGTCTGGATCTTACCAGGGGACATCCATGTGTCTTTCACAATGAGAGATCTCTCTTTCCAACACCCATGTCACAATCAAGGGAAGATGAGACAAGAAGCCATCCCGGTCCCTAATCAGACTTGCTCTACATCTCTTACTCCTGTTCCTCCAGCTCAGGCCTCCCTGCCCAAGAGCCAAATCTGGGGAGTTTCCTGAGCACAGGAAATGAGCCAGAGCTTGGGAGGATGTGGGCCAAGGCAGGTGACTCCTGAGAGGAGGGCCAAGTCCTTCCCACACCCTTCCCCTGCTCCCCAAAGGTGCACCTCTAGCTGGTGGAGCCAAAGTGCCCACTGTGGACTTGGCTGTGACTGCAAGGCCTGTAGCACCCAGAGACTCAGCATCCTCTCTGAGTCAAGTTCTCCCACTATGGTGAAGAGAAAAAAAGAAAGGGCCGACGGTCAAAGGAAATCCAATTCTGAGCAGGGTTCTCATCTGAAAAATGGGTGTTGGCCCAGATGATTCCTGCCTTCTCTTCCAGAATATGCTGGGACTGGAGAACACATTCTGCCCTAGGAGGAGGGGTGAGGCTGAAGACGCGCGAAAAACATTGTTAGTCAGGAAACCAGTCAACGCCCAACAGGCCAGCTTTGAAAGCTTCAGTGCAGAAGGCAAGAAGTTAGAGAGACACGGGGACATCCCACAGCC